ATGCCTACGCGGATTTCAACATATCATCGCTTAATTACTACAATCCCGCAGACTCGGTCACTGACGGGCCAAGATGTCAGAAAGTAATGTAAGTGCTCACCTGTCCTTGGGGAAAGGATTTACTTTGCAGGCTTCCAGCAAAAATTTAACAACTTCAACGTGACCTATACTCCCCACCCCCCAAGAAAAGCAGATTTTTAGTATCAAGTGGAAATGACATCTGGAAAAAACTAGACGAGCGGTTTACTTATTACCCTCTGCAGCGGCTACGTGCAGTGCTGTCCTAGAATCATAGTCCCGCTGTTCCATGTCCATGGCTGACAAAGCAAACCTGAAAATGTAAGCGCAACTATTCATTAGATACAAAACACACTGAACTCACACTTGTAACATTTACCCCAGCAGTTCAGTCTAAGGTCCCTTCACACGAGCCCTCCTGCACGTTGATGGGCACTCAGCATCCTGTTCAACCAGGACACCAGGTCTTAGGTAAATTCCACTGCCTCTCTCTCCTTTAGCTTTGCTTTTTTTGGGGGGGGTAAGATGTTTACCATCTTGCACAGAATTAAGCTTCACTGTATTATTGGTCAGAACTCTAGAATGATGGCACAACAATACCAAAGTTTATGTCTCAGAAGGTCAAGACACTAATATCTGTAGTAATATGTTCACCAATACTCCCGTTACAGTCTGCAGATTTCAGTTACTAATCAGACTTCAAAACAAGGTTGGAAATTAAGCATGGACATTTTTCCACTTCGGAGATGAACCGCAACTGCACAAGAGGTCTTATGTTAGGTATACACAGAGGTAAATAGCCTTGCTAATCCTGGTGATCTGTGGGCACCAAATGCCCCCAACCAGACGAGGGGTGAGAAGGCCCTGTCCAGGTCCACTAAGCCACTGATACTAATGAGCCAGATTAGTGGGACAGGTACCACTTGGGAAATCAGAGATCTGGACTTTAATGAAGGTAGAGAAAGACTGACTGGACAGCAGATCTCGGGTATTGGAAGTAGGACCTTAACTCAAATTTTATTTGGGTTATTTTTATTAGAAATGGAAGTGAGATGTTGGTCTTAAAAAAGCTGTTGTCCCAGAATAAAACTTCCTAAGTATCTGTAAACCACATGCAGATCCACCCTGTTAACATACCTTCTAAGAGCAGACACATCTCCGGTATACGCAGCAAACAAAAGGTTTATCACTGACTTTACCTGTGAAGAAAAAAAAGTTCAGGCTCCCACAAGAGAAAAGAAACACCATGTCTAACTGTCGCTGCAAGCCATTTCCATGAGCTCTGAACACTTATCACAAGTACGCGTCTAGAGCCAAAAGACACACGTGGTGTTCTTCCAACAGGACCGTAATGGAAACTCAGCAGTAAAGATACATGAGATAACGACTAGAATGCCATCAATTGACACATAAGAATGGAACCCGTAGGCTACTTGCGGTGACACAGTGGTGGATCTGTGATACTGAAGCCAATGAGAAGGTCTCGGGTTCGCATCCCAAGGTCTCCCTGTACACACTGGGCATGCATGCATGTGCCCTTGAGACTGGGTGGATCCCAGCATGAGGACTCTGTTGGGGGTACCTGTTTCTCTCCCTCTCAAAAGAGGTAAGTTTAAGGGACCAGCAGTTAGCGTAATGGCTATGTCACTGGACTCCCGTGTAGTCGACCGCAGTTCAAGTCCCGGACCCAGTGGCTTAAACTCATGTCAGGCGCTTAGGTGTGCATCCCCAAGATCCTGAGAGGAGAATGCAGGAGAAGGGACTGCAGCGTGGCCATTCCCCCTGGGAGGGGTTTTCTCACTTTCTGTCTCTCTGTCTCTCTCTGTCTGTCTGGCAAGCTCACACGCCCTATAGCAAAATCCTCTAAAAAACAAACAAATGAACAAACAAAAAGTAAGTTTAAAAAGGAGAGGAAAAAAGATGCCTACGACCTGTGAAACTCATATTGTTGGGGCAAATGAAAACTAACCCTTCAGTATGTCAGAACCCTAACCCTTTATTTAGTATGTCTCAACTCTAAATGTGAACACTGATAAAATTTACATATCATTATTTAAAATGAAATCATGCTATGTAAATGTCTCATCTCCACCAGAAATCACTGTCCTCAACCATTACTGCCTTCTTTGCAAACCTTAAGAGGGAACATTCAGTGTTAACTACCTCCGAAACTTAAGGGATACACTTCACTGGGAAGACCATCAGCAGGTCCATGCTCTGGCGGCACAAATCAGAGCTTCCCGGAACCAAACGCTGTCTCTGCTTAAAAGACAGGTAAGCTCAGGGCCAGCAGCGTAGCGGTTAAGGCACTGAACTCCCACATGGTGGACTGTGGCTTGAGTCCTGGATCCAGTGGCTTGAAACTTGTGCCAGGCACATATGCATGTGTGCCCCAAATTCCCAGAGAATGGAAGAAAAGAGAGCAGTATGGCCATTCCCCTTGGGGGGTGATTTTTTGCATTCTCTCTGTCTCTCTCCATCTCTCCGGCAAGCACACATGTCCTATAGCGAAAATCTTTCTTAAAAAAAAAAAAAAAGACACGTAGGCTCACAAACTACCAAGTCAGCACTGTCAAGTGTTCCAAGACTTCAGAGTGTATCTGCTTTGACCATGACCCATTGTCCTGTTCTTATAGTTAAAAGGAAAAGGCCAGTTTTACTTAAGTCCATTGGATTTTAGTCTGCTTTCCTAAGGACTTTCTCCAGTCCTGATGAAACTAAATTATGTATCATACAAATGTGTGCAAGTACTCAGTAAACTTCCAATTCTGTCTTCAACTTTGTACCTTCAGCATTCATATTGAAGTCCCAGCTGATACTGGCCTCAATGTAGAAAACCTTTCACTGGAGGGATGGAGAAGAAGACAGCTCACCACCACAAAGCCACAGCTCTGGCCTATGCTTCAAGACCTTACCCTGGACACCTTCCCTTTCCGCTCCACAACCTGTGGACTGTAAAAACTAACTGCAACTGGGGCCAGCAGGTGGCATGCTGGTTAAGGCGTTGGACTCCCACATGGCTGACTGTGCTCTGAGTCCTGGACCTGGCGGCTTAAAACTCGTGCTGGGCACGTGTGCATGCGTGCCCACCCAAAATCCCAGGAGGAGAATGGAAGAGAGAGGATTGCAGCATGGCCATCACCCCAGGAGTTGAGTTTTCACTTTCCCTCTCACTGTCTCTGTCGCTCCGGCAAGCACACACTTATGGCAAAAACCTTAACAAAGAAAACAAACAAACAAAAAAACCTGCAACTGACCACTTCTGGACTTGCCTAATTCAGCATCTTCAAAGTGTGCTTCAGAGAAACTAGCCCACAAGATGCTCCATGAATTATAAACATCCTATGGTTGAATATGGTCTTAAAATATGAAATCCCTTCTTTAGAACTTATGAGCATATAAAGAGTTCTGTAAAGTTCTGCAGTACTAGGTAGGACCTGTCTAGCTGAGCACATGCCCAAAATATCACTACTTACTACGAGTGTTGCTATCGCTTCCAAACGCTTCATTCTTCCTCCTCCCGTCCAGCGGCTTCCCTTCTATCCGAGTCATCCTCTCCTACTCCTGCCCTGTCTAGACCCTGCAGTCAATCCCCTCCGACCCTAACAGAGCAGGGCAGTTTTCTCAATGCGGTTGGGGGAGAGAGCTTTACCCACAATGTTCTCAAAATATGCAAGAGGAAAATCCAGAAATTTCTTGGAAAAAAATGGAATAAAAAAGATGTTTATTTTGGTGCAAAACTTTTTCAAATCCATGCAGTTTTTTATTTTTTTATCATAATAGCAGTTTCCACTAACTTTTTTTGGAGGCTTTTCATATAAGCATCTCTTATCATTTCTAGGTGTCCTACTCCTACAACTTAATTTGATATTTTTTAAGGAAAAAATATAAATCTGTACAGTTTGGGTTTTTTTTTTTTTTTTTTAAAGCCTCCAGGTGACTTAGCTATTCACTACTCTGGATTATGAACCACTATTTCAGGTGCCTGTAACTTTTTTTTTATTAAATGGAATAATTACTGAATCCTCAATATCCTTTGTGCTCTTGGGCTACAGAGTATTTTCCATTTTTCCAACTGGTCTCACATCACTGCTTGACAGCTTTCCCCCCTTAATTGTCCCCTTCATGCTTTCTTCAGATTTTTGATACCAATGGCAGCCCCTACAACAAGACAGATGATCCTAACTACTTTCCCGAATAAAAGCTGTCCTCATGCTCCTTCCCCACCCCGCGCCCTCACCAGGAGTCTTCCGCAAGATGCTGTTCTACACCTATCCTCTCTCCCTTTGCTCCAAGCTCAAACCAGAGTGCTTTTCCTTCTCCATTTCTGAGTCTCACTTTTCACCTTTCCTTCAAACAGAAATCTCCAAGATTCCCTAACATGACTCCACTACTTACAACTTTTGTTTCTATTAACTTCAACCCTTCCCTCCACTGGTTCCCTTATTTCTTTTTTTTTTTCTTTCATTTATTTATTTTTACATTTTTCCACAAATATTTACTTTACATAGCAAAAAATTTTAGCTCATACTCCATAATTCTTGACAGTTTACAAACAACTTTCAAAATTTCGAAATACTGAATTTTATAGATAATGTTCAAAATATGTCTTATAATTTTGTATCGTTTTATAACTCTATAACAACAGAAGCAGTATGATTTCAAAAAAATATATATATATATATTTTTTTAGAGTGCAGACACTCGGTATATATTAAGTGGGGACATACAATGCAGTTAGCGTAATGGTTCCCTTATTTCTACCTTAATAAACACTTGCTTCTAATTTTGAGAAGCCAACATTTGACCCTACTGTTTTCCTTCTAGTGGATTTTCTGTAAGTAGCGTATATGTTGAATTCCCTACAAATTACCGTCTCAATCACGGTTACCGCTAAACACTCTCCAAAGCTCTGGCAGCCTTCCTGAGCCCCAATTCCTCCTGGTCACCCCAGCCCACCACCTCCTCACAGCTCGCCTTCCAGGATGCTGCATCACCCTGATCCTCCTGGGCAGGGCTGTACAGACTCACTGCCCGCTTTCCACTGCCTAATAACCCATCAGAGGCCGTCTCCACCCTTCCTGTTACTCATCATGTCCCTCAAAGGTTTCATATGCTCCTCTGAGCAGAATGATTTCCCAGTCTGCACCTTCAGTCTGAGCCTATGTTTAACCCTAGTTAGGAACAGTTGATTCCACCTGATTGTCACTCTATCATTTCAAACTCAAAAACTGCAATAGCCCTAGTGGCTCCATGCCCTGGCTCCGGAAGTTCATATCCATCTGCCTACTTGCCATTGCCTCTAGGACCTTTAGCAGGCATCTCAGACTTATCTTACCTAAAATAGAACTTGCTCTGCATGCAGTCGGCTCCTCCTGTAGTCTCCCCTATTTGGAGATGCCACCATCATTCACCCAGTTAACCCAGTTGCTCAGACCCCAAACCCAGGAGTCAGCCAGGGCTGCTGCATGTGCTTGCACAGGTTGAGTGCTCCATGAGGATGCCCAGCCATGGGGCCATACTGGTGTACCCAACCCATGTTCTTCCCACCTAGGTGTCCTTGCAGCTAGGTGCATCTGCTGGGATAAGGGGAGCCTTCTTCAATCAAAGGTAATGGAAAGATCTGCTTCTGCCCAGAGGCAGAATTAGCATTTGTTAGTTCACAGATCCACTGGATCTGGGATATCCCTTGATTCTGTTCTCTGAGAATCCACCTCTTTGCTCTAAGTCTCAGGTAGGTCTGGAATATCACCACTTCTGCTCTTTTTTGTCCTGCCCTAGGAACCCCTGGGGCACTGCTCTACCTCACCTGGAGGACTGTGATCACCTCCTAACTAGTCTTCATATTCAGCTCTGTTGCCACAGGGATCTTTTTAAAAACATGGCAATCCCTGTGACTTTCCATCATACCTAAAGCGCACACACTCTACCACGGCCCTCTGGACCTCTGAACCTGCTGTACTCCTGGTTACTCTGCACATCTCATTTCCTGCTCTTCCCCCTTGCAGCTCTACTCTAGATAGACGGTCTTCTTGCTGCTTTCTCAGGCAGTGAGGAGCCTCCTTCCCCTTCCCTTAGGTCAGGTCTCCACTCACATGCTACCACCCAGACTCCACAGCACTCCTTTCTTTTCATCACTGCTGATCCCTTACTTTGCCTTTTCTCTTCAAGGCAATTGTTATCACCAGGCACGTGCATGGTCTCCTTCTCTCTATAATTTATTTTTAACTTCTTGTGTCTTTGGAATTCCACACTTCTTACTATCTCTGCACTCAGCCACCACCTTCTCTCACCTGGAGGACTGTGAAAGCCTCTTACTGTTAAATGTAAGCACCATGGGCCCAAAGACCACTTGTCGTTTTTGCTCCCCTCTGTAACTTACGTGCATACCACATCATAAGTGCTATTAAGCATCTGCCGACAAGTAAATAGTCTACCCTGAGACATCAAATATTCAGTACGTTACCACCATTTGGAGTAAACTGTAATCACTAATTCCCCCACCTCTCTTAACTGTTTATACCTTCAGATCTCTTTACCAGATGTATTTCATCTTCCCAGTCCTGCCACTATCCCTCCATCCTCCAAAACCTTTCCACGTACTCCTAGACATGTTCTCAAAACCCTGCTTTTATCAGTAAAGGTTTCTAAACAGGGGAGTGTCATGAAATAGCCAAATCATTCCTGAGGAAATTTAAACTCTTCAGCCTTGCATTCAAGGTTTCTCAGTCCGGCTAACTTACTTTTCTCTCTCCACCTCAACAGGGCGAAACTCTTCTCAGACTGCCCTTGGTCTATGCTCTTCTCTGAGAACACGTGGCTTCCCAAACATATCACAGGAGCTGACGTGAAAGCCCCTCCTTGCTGCCACACTTCCCCAGGCCCTCCCACCCCGGCATTCATTATCCCTTAGCAATGTGACAGCATGCCAGGATGGAGTCACATGGCTAGCTCCTCTCCACTCTAACCTGAATGTACCTTCGGCTCCTCCTAAGCCACGATGCATTCTACCCTCTAAATGCATTTCTCCCCACTCACTTCTCACTAAATGTTATTCTCGCCCCCTCCTCTGGGGACTGTACTCCAATCTCTTAACCTGGAAGTAATCTACATTTGCCTTTCTATCGCACGGCCACAAATGACCACACGGTATTTACTTGTGTATCTTATGTTCACAACACTGAGGACAAATCCAGCTCCCGTTACACATACCACTAATATTTTAATTACCCATAGTTCTTTAAGTCTTCTAAGCAATAAATCCTTGTCTGTTTCAGTGACTGTATGTATGAACTGCATTTCTTTGTAAAGTTCTCAGTTTAGATCAAGCTAGTTCAAAGAGATTTTATTATATATAATTGGCATATATCACTTAGTCACTTATGCAATATTTCAAAAGTTCTTAAAAAGTAAGGCCCAAGAAAGACTTATTTCTGAATAGAATCAGTATATTTAGTGTATAATAACACTTTACATCCAAGCAAGTTTCAGCTCAGAGGTAAGTATAAAACGAGGACACATCAGAAGACTTTACTGTACAAATGATTTGTGACTAATCAAGGGAGTCCCTTGACAGTACTCAAGAGTTGAGTCGAAGTTTGGTATCCTGCCCATGATAACAAAGACTAGCTGTGGGGCTGAACCCAGTCCAAACCAGAAATCAGGATGACCACAACGTGAGTGTCATTCTCTCCAAGACAGAGAAGCACTGGGAGGCAGCACACGCACAGTCACCACTGAAAAGTAAAACCACAAGGCCTCTTGGCTTTTATTTCGAACTCTATCACCAATCACAAAGAGCCACCTACGTTTTAAATGTATGCCTAAATCATGAAACGTGCTATGAGTAGAACGCTCAGTAAGAAAATGAAACTAGTTTAATGTTTTTCAGACAATGGATGGAACGGTATTTCACTTTTGGCCAGACTATTCCTCATCTGTTGAAAGAATTCCACAAATATTCCCAAAGAAACTGACATGCCCTCCGAAATGCAGACCGCGGCAAAGAAACTCCACTTCTTCTCCAAAGGAGAGGGGCATTCTAGAAGACCGTTCGTCCACCTCCCAG